TCGATACTTCGATATTATAAATAAATGAGCAAGAAAACAAACCCATTCACGACGGGTAAATTCTAGCAATTAAGAGGTTCTCAGTTCTTTTATTAGAACAGCCAACTTAATGAAAGGAGTCGTCTGAGCTTTTGAAATATATTGAAAGATTTTAAAAGATATTGTAAAAGATATTAAAAGATATTAAAAGTTATTATTTATCGAATAAATTGTAGAGTCCTTAGCCGCTTAGATCAATTTTTATAAAAATGCTTTTATGTGTTATGTACTTAGGTGATTTAATAATATTTTTTAGATCAGGATTTTCAGCTTCTAATATACTAATCTGAAAATATAGCAAGAAAATGCCTAACATTTATTGCATTATTTATTTGAATTCAATTTGAATACTTGAAATTAAAAGTGCGACGTGTTTTTAGGTCATCGATTATAATTATCTGCTTGGACATTCGATTCATTGTGCTCGTGTATATGTCAATGAACTATAAGTTCATTGATAGTCCACGAGCTTGAATAATTAATGGAAAATGTTAATTAATTTTTTAATAATGGAGTATTATATAATCATAAAAAATACGAGTTAATTTGCCAAAAAAAGTATAAGAGATTATATTTTGCTCACACGTATGAAATGTCCAAATGGAGTTTTTAGGGATGAAGAAAGAAGAGGCTAATTGCCAAAGAGGCCCCCACTTAAATGTGGCTGAAAAGGGCAACTACAGGCTATTTAGTTATTTTCAAAGGTTCAACAGCATGTTTGAACTGTTTGAGAATAGCTCTCTAGTCATATTTTATATTTTATTATATTACTTTTTGCTCGTCATTAATTTGTAGTTGTAATTGGAGATGATGGACCATTCCATCTCCTTGGGACATCAAATTCGTGTCTATATCGTCCAAAAGATGCATATGTGTTAGTTAGAGTCATAAGTATTAAAATTTTCGTAATATTAAATTTTGAATTAAATAACGTTCGGTAAATATTCCAGTAATTTCTCTTTTCCTGTTTCGTCTTAAAAATTTTTCACTGTAATCATATTTTATTAAAATTTACAATTTTTTCCCCTATAATGCAGTTTAAAAATATTTTACAATAATTAATAAATATTATTATTTTCTAGTAACTTAGTATCTTTACTTTTCCTATTTCTTTATTGTTATTTATTTTATGTAATTGTAAAATCACGCGTTTGAATTTAATTTTATTGTAACGTTAATTAGAGATTTGATAAAAGTAAATGTAGAATTCAATTGAAAAGTGCATCTGCCAATTGGACGATTNGTTAGAGTCATAAGTATTAAAATTTTCGTAATATTAAATTTTGAATTAAATAACGTTCGGTAAATATTCCAGTAATTTCTCTTTTCCTGTTTCGTCTTAAAAATTTTTCACTGTAATCATATTTTATTAAAATTTACAATTTTTTCCCCTATAATGCAGTTTAAAAATATTTTACAATAATTAATAAATATTATTATTTTCTAGTAACTTAGTATCTTTACTTTTCCTATTTCTTTATTGTTATTTATTTTATTGAAATGTAAAATCACTCACGCGTTTGAATTTAATTTTATTGTAACGGTAATTAGAGATCTGATAAAAGCAAATAAAGAATTCAATTGAAAAGTGCATCTGCCAATTAGACGATTTATATGTCAGGCTATTGTATCACTTGATTGTATGATTAATATATTTTTCTTTTTGTTATAAGTGATCATCATTGGATTTATCTTCTATTTGCGCTGAAAATATTGGCTACTTTTAAAAATATATATTTATAATATCAAGACATTTCTAAAGGCACACATAAAAACTAAATATGACATACAAATTATTACTTGAAATTCGATAATTAATATAGCTCTAAATATTTGTGAAAATGCACTATTATGGGGCTTACGTGACCATCCTCTGATTAATTTTAAATGTCGCGTTGACAATTAATACTAACTAACAAATAAAATAATTTATATAAAATATAATTAAATAAAAATTAAAATATATTAAAATATAATTTATATAAAAAACAAAGAAAATAATTTATTAATGATTATTCCAATTTAAATCAATTTTAACAATAAAACAAAAGAGAGAAAAAAGTGTTTAGATTAATATTAGAAAGAAATAAGTTACCTTTATTTAGAAATCTACACGTAGAAAATATATTTGAAGTATTCCTCGTCTTTGTAATAATCTCACCGTGGTCGCCAGTATTTTTTTGGATGTCTTAGGAATGGTAAGGTAATTTACAAATAAAAAAAAAAAAAAGAAGTAAATAATATCAAATTCAACAACGAGTCTTAAGATCTTTTTTAGCATTTTATTAAGTTTATCATAATGATTTCAATTGATACAATGTTTTTGTGTTTTTTTTATTCTTTTATTTGTTTTTTTTTTTTTATTCTGTGGTATACTTATTCGTATTTTTCTGGACGCGACGATAACTTCTTCCTTTCTCGTTGGAAAGCGCTTATCGTACAACTCCTAATAAATATTACAATTGAAAAATCGAGATTCATTCGTCATAATCGATACCTTATCTCAAATGTATATTCGTATATCTATACACGTATATAATATGTAATTGATAATAGACGTTAGGCGTTAGCTCGGAGAATGAGGAAGTTTTCGTCGTATCCGCGAGCAAAAAGAAAAAAGAAAAAAAAAAAAACCATAAATTTAATAACAACGTTGGCGTGTGTTTTCTCGTAATTTCTCTTTTTTTTTTTTTAGATGTTAATTTCTCTCTCTTTCTCTCTCTCTCTCTCTTTCTTTCTCTTTTGTATATTATTCTTTTATCTTGTTTGTTCGTATTTATATATATGTATATATATCATTTTTGTATTTTATTTTTATACTTCAATTCTTTCCTCACAAGTATATATATCAAGCTTTTGTTTTTTGTTTCTTTTTTTTAAATTCTGGTTGTCGTTCTCTACTTTACGTACATAACCCATTTCAATATCTCAACATTTCTTTTCGATCGTAACAGTGTAAGTGAGGTTTAAGAAGAGGAGAAGGGGGAGGAGGTGAGGTGATGATAGGAGCAAGGAATACCAATATAGAATATTTTGTTATTTTTTTGTCTTTTTTTTTTTTTTTATATCGTTTAGTATCCACATAAATGTTAAACATTAATTTCTTTCAATTTTGCTTGTGTTCTTATTAATTATTATTATTATTATTATTATTATTATTATTATTATTATTATTATTATTTACCTTTAATTGTATTTATTAATTAATTAGTTCCGTCGTACTCCCCCTCCATCTTCCTCTTCTTATTTATTATTCTCCCTTATCATCATTCCCCATAATTATCTTCTTCGTTTCTTCTGCCCGAAAATTATAAGTCCATTTGTATTTTCTTTCAATTTGTTTATTCTCTTTCTCTCTCTCTCTTTCCCTATCTTTCGTTTTCGCGTTTAATCTTATTCCATTATTATTTATTCTTTATTTAAATGTTATGTAGTGCCTATAAGGGACGCACAAAGGCGCTTGCGCTTTTACAGCGAACTTCACAGGAGCTCTTTTTTTCTCGTATACTAGCTGTGCTGAATGCACTTGTACTGGTCGCTCGTAATTGGCTTAACGTTCGGCCAAAGACAGGTCAAAGGTCAATAATATATTATATGCATTGATTTAAAATTTAATCGTTATGATCGGTCCATTCTGACTACTCAAAGTTTATTTCTTTAAGAGAAATATTTTTTATTATTATTATTATAATTATTATAATTATAAGATGATGGTTAGAGATCGTAACTCGTTAATACAAATGTAAGAAGAAGATTAGATCATTATTATTATTATTATTATTATTAATATTATTATTATTATTATTATTATTATTATTA